GGGAAAATGGGTGGGTTGGATGCGATCCATGCAGTAGCATGCACGAGGAGCGGGTGGGACAGCCGCCCCAGCACGATCACCTCTTTCTGCACGAGAAGGAATGGCGGGTGGAGTTGGGAAGGGGGGTTGGGTAGAGCTGAGCGGGTCCAAGCAGACGCACGAGATGCAGGTGGATCAGCCGGCCCAGCACGATCACCTCCTTCTGCACGAGAGGGATTGAGAGGGGTTGGAGGAGCAAGTCGAGAAAATGGGTGGGTTGGATGCGATCCGTGCAGTAACCGTGCAGACGCACGAGATGCAGGTGGATCAGGCGGCCCAGCACGATCACCTCCTTCTGCAGGTGAGGGATTTTGAGGGGGTGGTGGGGTCGTGGGATGGCGGGGTGTTGTGGTGGGGATATGAAGGCTCCATGTCGTGGCCGTGCAGGCAGGCGAGGTGCAGGTGCGACAGCTCCCCTTCCCAGAGAAGACTTTTGAGTCGACTCAAAAGTCACCTCGTTACAATGGCACAAGGCTCCATGTCGTGGTCGTGCAGGCAGGCGATGTGCGGGTGGGACAGCCCCCCTTCACGGAAATCTGGTTTTGAGTCGAATCAGGGGATTGAGGGGAACGCGAGAGATTGAGGGGATTGGGGGGATTGTGGATCACGGAAATCTTTTTCGATTGAGGGGATTGGGGGGATTGTGGATCACGGAAATCTTCTTCGATTGAGGGGATTGGCATTGTGTGGAAACGCGAGAGATGCTCGTTGGGAAAGCTGGCTTCCCACGCTCGTGCCAAAACCCCCCTTATTTTCTTCCACAGACGCACGCACGGCACCAGAAACTCTTCCGCATTTCTCCCCCATTTCCCCCCCATTTCTCCCCCATTCCCCCCCATTCCCCCCCCATTACTCCCCCATTTCTCGCCTATTTCCCCCCCATTTCGCACGCACACGCGCACGCACCAGAAACTCTTCCGCATATCGTTCGTTCGCCTCGCGCATTCTCTTGATCGCCACCGGCTCCGCGCCAAGCCCATTCGGGCCCCGCGGGATCGCCCCCCAATACACGGTCCCGAACCCGCCTCCGCCAATGGCGTGTCGTCGATGAAACCAATTCGTCGCAGCGCGGAGTTCGGCGAACGAAAACCGCCGCAGGGAGCTCGGGATGAGGTCAAATCGGGGATTGTCGCTGGTAGTGCCACTGGCGCTAGTAGCATTCAGCGTTGTACCGTTAACCGGAACACAATTATGGGTGTCACTGGTACTAGGATTTGCGGTTGAACTGTCGACCAAAACTAACTTATTGGTGTCACTGCCAGTGGCGCTATTCGAGGAGGAGACCACGACAAAAACATTGAAGGTACTACTGGCGCTAGGAATCGCGGTTGAACCGTCGAGCGAACCATCGTATTCGGAGATTTGAGAGGTGGTGGTTCTGAAAGACGTTTTATTCTGGCTGCTGAGGCTGGTCTTGCTGGCGCGACGATCAATGATTGATGTGCTTATTGCACCGTGATCTGCTTGGAAAAGGGCAGAGGAAACGGAAAACGATGTTATGACACAGGAGGTAGATGGGGAGGGGATAATTAGGGTTACCATCGCTTGGAGTCGTCGACTTACCCCATTCGCCTGAAAACGATCGCATTCGATGAACTGGCACTCAACTACTTCGCTTAATTCATTTGATTCAAGTAGAGCGCAGTTTCATGCCACACGATCTTAGTCAACAATAGATTTATTTAACATTTGTCGAATCGTTATTCAAAGCGTCTGAGAGACATACGGGACTGACGTACCCGTTTTCGACATGAAACAACCCATTTTTCGTCACGTAAACCAATTTGAGGTGGCGGCGCTGTTATTGAATGAGAATTCAGCTTTCAGAACTTGGAGGGAAGAAAAACAAGAGCGATAACTACGTCTGTCAGCCACATTCCCATTCCACTGCCTCAGACAGCCTGTTGCTACTCCATCAGGCGATTATGTCTGTTGCTACTCCGCTAAGCAGAAAGTTGAACATTGGTGATAGGGAGTCTTGCATGCCGTGACGATTTCGAGCGGCTGCGAATGCGTTCCGTGTGCTAGTTATGGACGAGTAACTCCAGCGTAACAATCGGTCGGACCGAACCGGTGTCACTGTGCGATATAGAGAAGGAAGGATCATAAGAGCGCTTCAATCACGAATATTATTTGTTGCAGTCCTAAAATAAATATTTCTGCAATGGTGCTGATGTACAGGCGTCAAATACCTAATGTAAGAGGCAGCAAGTGGCTGCTAGTAATGTATCAGAAACCAACGAATGGAAAACAAAGACCCAACAGAACGAGATATTTGGCTTGTACTGTACTGTACAGTACAGCAGACCAGCAACTGTCCCATCCCATCCCATGGCCCCAACGGACCCGACAAGTTCAAGGGGAGAGAAATGCTGCCTTGCCGGAGCCTGCTTCTGAGCCAGGACAAATTCGTTGTCCGAGGAGGTGGATGGATGGACCCTGCTTCCCTGACAGGCACAACCTTTTGGGTTTTTAGTTACGGCGGAAGAGGTACTTCCGAAACTACGCTTTCTAGGTACCTTGTTTTCTACCTGCGCCCAGTTTCCCAGGTTTTGCGACCCACACAGAAGACTTTCTGCTCTAAGACAGAACTCAACTCCTTATTTACCCACGCGTCATCATATCAGTGCTCAGCACAAATTTGCCTTTCTATCCGCACTAGACGAAATCCCTCTAGGCTGGCAAGTGTAAGGGGTATCAACCCTAAACACCTTGCGACTAAGTGTTTAAGGTTGATGCCAAAACTAAATCCCTCTTGGCTGGCATGCTAATGTATGGCATCAACCCTGAACACCTTGTCGCAAGGTTTTTAGGGTTGATGCCCTTGGAAACTTCCCAACCGAGAGAGGTTTAGTGTTGTGCTTGCTGGCAGAAGTAACCCGATGAGAACAGTGCTTGCGTGACGTGCGAAGAAGCTGGGTTCTGTGTTAGCACAATAACTCCTCCGCCTCAGAAGCGGATCAGTGGAGAGTGTGCACAGGTCAAGATTAAAGTCTCTTGAAAGAAAGAAAGCTACTGTAAGCCTTCCAAAAAACTAAAAACCTTAACCCCTTGGCCACGTTTGACGAACAAGTGACGCGACGCGATACAGACTGATGTACGTACTGTATGTCCACCATGCCGCCCGAGTGAGCGAACGCCGCCCCGCTAAGCATGGCACAGCACAGGCACACCAACTGGTCGTGCGAATGAAAGAATCGGTTGTACCTCCCCTGCTGGGTAAGTAGCTTTCGCGGGGGTACTACTAGAGACCCCGCGCTTTCTAGGGAGCTACAGCGCCAGCAGGGGACACTTTCCGGTCCCCCCGTGCCTCAGACAGGGAAATTATAAAAACAACACAGAACACTTCCCCAAATTCACCCACGTGTCACAAATTCAGAAAGTTACAAAAACGTACGGCAAAAACAATAAAACCCATAGAGAACCTGGACTTATTTTCGGGAGGGATCAACCCTAAACACGGGAACCCACATTATTTTTAGGGTTGATGCCTTCCCCGAGACGCATCCCTTCCAGATCTGGTTTTAGTTTTTTTCGGTCAGGTAAAGGGATATTTTTTCCCTTGGCTTGAGAAATTTGTGACACGTGGGTGAATGTGGGACCGAGTTCTGTGTTGTTGCCATAATGCTCCTGTCGGAGTGGCGGAGTGGCGGAAAGTGCCCCCATATAGCGCTGTAGTCCCCTTGAAAGCGCAGGGTCGCTAGTAGTACCCCTACGAAAGCTACTTACCCTCCCCTGCTAGAAACTTTGGAAACACACTCGTTAGTACACCTGATGTCTGTTTGAGCGCCTCTCGGTTGCCTTGTAAAGAGGGCGTATAATATATACAAGGTTTTTCGCTAAGTTTCGTCAATTCGTAGCTAGCTAAAAAGGATTCGCATGTGCCTATATACTAGATCTGGTACCATATTTGACTTCAGTCTATTCTGCTTGACTTCGGTCTGTTCGTTACTATTGGTTGATAACCACGCGACGCGCTTGTAATGTAGGTGCATGAGGCTGGGGAAATAACCTCGGGTGCAGCGTATCCATCCGGCGCAAGGCAAATTCGCGTGCATGGGGTGAGCATCAGCTGTAGTTCTGTTCTTTGGACGTACTCGGACAGTTGAGAAATAACCGTTCCTAGCAGGTGGGTGATCTAAAATATCACTTATCCTGGGAACCATACCCAGCCATTCAAAACAATTCATTGAACGCTCTTAACCGTCATTGAACTCGTCAAACCGTACTGCCGCGTTCTTTGGCGCCTTTGGCCACAGGGTTGAGTTCTGTGTACCGGAATACATGCTTGTATAGCGCGATCCACTTCCTTCACATGCATTCCACAATTCCTTCCGCTCACGTGTCGGAAGATTGAGATGCGGTAAAATAGGAACCATAGTGTAGCAGCCGATTGCATATATTTTGGAATATATAATAGACAATAAATACATTGCTTAAGTCCAAGGAATAAAGTTTGGTCTTTGTTCTCCTTATATAGCAACATGATCACCCAATCCTATAGGAAATTATACTATTCGCATAAGCAAAGCTTACATCGTCAGGACCAATACTGGTGCCCACAACTGCTGACGACCCTTATTCACCGCCGTTCACCTCCATATCCCCTTTTTCGACCGACCCTGCCCTGATTCTCCCGCCTCCAGTGCTGCAGCTTTAGCTGCCGCCTCCACCTCCTCATTCTCGCACACCTTCACCACCTACATTCCCAATGTCTGGCCAAGTGACTTCTGAGTCAAGTCACCTTGGAGCTGCCGCCTCCACCTTATCATTCTCACACACCTTCACAACCACTGCAGCTTTAGAGGCGGCGTCCGCCTCATCATTCTCACACACTCTCACCAACAGCTTGAGTTTTTCCAGTACTGACCTAATGTCTGGCCGGGTCGACCTATTATCCGCCACACAGTGCCGAGCCAGAGACGCCAAGCCTTCAAACACCGGCGTTGACAGGAAGTATATCAAGCAACAACCACCACTGGTGCCACAGCCACCAAAGGCCCCTCTTCACCTCCAGTCACCTCCGTATGCCCCCCTTCTGACCCTGATTCCCCTGCCTCCAATGCTGCAGCTTTAGCTGCCGCATCTGCCTCATCACTCACACACTCTCAACAACAGCCTTAGTTTCTTCAGTACGGTCCCAATGGCCAGCCGGGTCGTCCGATCGTCCGCCACACAGTGCCGAGCCAGAGTCGCCAGGCCTCGGGAAAAGACCAGCTCTCGTATGAAGTATATCAAGCAACAACCACCACTGGTGTTACAGCCACCAACGAACCCTCTTCACCTCCAGTCACCTCCATACCGCCCCTTTCTACTGACCCTAGCCCCCCCCTCTCCAATGCTGCAGTTTCAGCTGCTGCCTCTGCCTCATCACTCTCACACGCCCTCACCAACAGCTTCAGTTTCTCCAGTACAGCCCCAATCTCAGGCCGGGTCCTCCGATCGTCCGCCACGCAGTGCCGAGCCAGAGTCGCCAAGCCTCGGGCGCCCCGCTCCGGGTACTGGTTACCAAGATGCGGATCGATGTATTCCGCGGCTTTACGTGTGAGGTCGGAGAGGCGTGTTCTGCACTCGATGACCATTTTTTCTCCCTCGTCCACCACTCTCCTCCCGGTTACCAGCTCTAACAGGAGAACGCCAAAGGAGTAGACGTCACTCTTGGCTCCCAGGTGTCCTGAGGAAGGGAGAAGGGGAGAAAGGGAAAGAGCAAACAAGGGCCGGGAAAGGGAGTGGGGATCAGAGTTAAGTTAAAAAAGGAAAGCGCCAAAGGAAGGATTAGACACCGCTCTTGGGGTGTGCCGGGAATTGGGGAAGGGAGAACGGGAGAAAGAGTGGGGAAGTAGGAAGAGGAATGGACATCACCCCAGCCACACCCACACACACCCTGTGTATAGCTGTTAGGAATCCCTTCGAAGTATCTGTCGCCATGTATGACGGGTCCATGTACCTCCGAATACCCATGATGTGACTCTATATATACACACCTGTCTCCATGTATGAGGGGTCCGTGTAGCCCCGAGTGCCCATGATGCGCGTAGATACGATTGACTGCAGCTGCCTATCCGGCCCCACTCGCACCATGCCGAAGTCTGTCAGCTTCGCATCGTATTCCTATGGCGTGGAGAGGGAAGGGACGAGTGAGTGAGGGAAGAGACGAGTGGGAAGCTACGTGTGATGTCTCGAACCATCCCAAAGCCTGTCAGCTTCGCATCGTACTCCTGTGGTGTGGGGAGGGTAAGGATGGGTGGGAATTTCGGAGGGAGGGGGCATGTGTGTTTTGAGTTGACTAAGTATGCATGTGGAACATTTGGCGGGAGGGGAGGGGAGGGGAGGGGAGGGGAGGGGAGGGGAGGGGAGGGAAGGGGAGGGGAGGGGAGGGGAGGGGAGCAGAGGCAGCCCATGTTTTGAAGCTTTACGTGATATAACGCCCCACTGCCAGCTGTGCACCATGTTAGTGTCGTGAAGAGTGAGGGAAGAGGTGAGGGAAGAGGTGGAAAAGGGAAGAGTGAGGTGATGAGAAGGGATGGTGAAAGCGGCGCTGACGGCTTGCTGCCTGTACTATCTGCCCTGCTACCTCCGCTCTCCCCCCCCTCATCCCCTACATGCACTCGCAGGTGACAGCAGCACGTTGGCAGCTTTCAAGCCAGCGCCTCTGCCACCTGCACCGCACTGCACCGCCAACCCAGTACTAGCAGTACAATCCCCCAGCCTCCTCAAGCCACCCACCTGACTTTTGAGTCGACTCAGAAGTCAGCCAGCGTCTCTGCCACCTGCACTGCACTGCACTGCACCGCCAACCCAGTACTAGCAGTACAATCCCGCAGTCTCCCCAAGCCACCCACCTTCCCAGCAACCCCCGACTCACAGGTGAAAGCAGCACGTTGGATGCTTTTAAGTCCCGGTGAATGAAGTTGGCTCCGTGCAAAAACGCCAGTGCCTCTGCCACCTGCACCGCCACCTTGAGCCGCATGCTCCAGCTGAAGAAGAGCTCTCCACTCGTACCTGGTGGGTGGAGGGGGGTGGGGGGGGGGAGGGAGAACAGTGAATACAGGGGAGTTGGAAAGTGGTGCGTCTCCCATGGGCCATGTGCATGTAACGTTGAGTCGACTCAGAAGTCACCTCGTCTCCCAGGTGCATGTACGCCTCTGCTGCCACCTGCACCGCCACCTTAAGCCGCATGCTCCAGCTGAAGACGAGCTCTCCGCTCGCACCTGGTGGGCGGTGGGGGGGGGGGAGGAAGGACAGTGAATTCAGGGAAGTTGGAAAGTGGTGCGTCTCCTATGGGCCATATGGATGTAACTTTGAGTCGACTCAGAAGTCACCTCGTCTCCCAGGTACATGTACGCCTCTGCTGCCACCTGCACTGCTACCTTCTGCTAAAGACGAGCTTTCCGGTACGCCAGGGCCTCTGTTGCTACCTGCACCGCTACCCTCTGCTGAAGACGAGCTCTTCGTTACGGCAGGGCGCCAGGGCCTCTGTTGCTACCTGCACCACCACCTTGAGCAGCATGTTCCAGGTGAGCGTGAGCTCTCCGCTCGCACCTGGTGGGCGGTGGGGGGGGAAGGGGAGTGAATACAGAGAATTGGGAAATGGTGCGTCTGCCGGGTGCATGTACGCAACGCCAGCTCCTCTGCCACGCCACCTGCACCGCCACCTTGAGTAGCATGGTCCAGGTGAGCGTGAGCCCTCCGCTCGCATTTGAGTCGACTCAAATCCAGATGTGTTTTGAGTCGACTCAAATCCAGGTGTGTTTTGAGTCGACTCAAATCCAGGTGTGTTTTGAGTCGACTCAAATCCAGGTGTGTTTTGAGTCGACTCAAATCCAGGTGTGTTTTGAGTCGACTCAAATCCAGGTGTGTTTTGAGTCGACTCAAATCCAGGTGTGTTTTGAGTCGACTCAAATCCAGGTGTGTTTTGAGTCGACTCAAATCCAGGTGTGTTTTGAGTCGACTCAAATCCAGGTGTGTTTTGAGTCGACTCAAATCCAGGTGTGTTTTGAGTCGACTCAAATCCAGGTGTGTTTTGAGTCGACTCAAATCCAGGTGTGTTTTGAGTCGACTCAAATCCAGGTGTGTTTTGAGTCGACTCAAATCCAGGTGTGTTTTGAGTCGACTCAAAACAATCCAGGTGAGCGTGAGCCCTCCGCTCGCACCTGGTGGGTGGAGCGGGAGTGCAGGGTTTGTGGCACGGGCGAGAGGAAAGGTAGAGTCAGTACTGAGGAGTGGGAAGGAAGGAAGGATGTGCATGCTCCCGATGAAGAAGGGCTCGTCCTTTGCACCTGGTGCATGCCTCAAAAATGGCGCCCCCAGTCTTGAACTCGTACACTAGTAGGCAGAGCGAGGAGAGAGCTGAATCCACTCTAGTCTGGTGGATAACCACCCGTAGCACCCCACTCCACTGGCCAAGCACCCCACTCACTGTCTAATAGCGCCTTGTCGAGGCTGCTCCCAGTCATGAACTCGTACACGAGCAGAGCCTCGTTCCCCTCCATGCAGTAGCCGTGCAGATGCACGAGGTGCGGGTGCGACAGCCGCCCCAGCACGATCACCTCTCTCTGCACGAGAGGGGTTGGTAGGGGGTGGCGGGTGAGGTGGAAGGGATCCCATGTGTCCAGAAGGATGGGTGAGGTGGAAGGGATCCCATGTGTCCAGAAGGATGGGTAAGGTGGAAGGGATCCCATGTGTCCAGAAGGATGGGTAAGGTGGAAGGGATCCCATGTGTCCAGAAGGATGGGTAAGGTGGAAGGGATCCCATGTGTCCAGAAGGATGGGTGAGGTGGAAGGGATCCCATGTGTCCAGATGGATGGGTGAGGTCCAGATGCATGGGATCCCACCCACGCACGAGATGCGGGTGGACTTTTGAGGCGCCTCAAAAGTCACGAGGAGCGGGTGGTCTTTGCGGTGCCTCAAAAGTGGAGGGGATCGGATGTGACGGGTCCAAGCATACGCATGAGGAGAGGGTGGGACAGCGGCCCCAGCACGGTGTGTGTGTGTTGTGTGTGTGTGTGTGTGTGTGTGTGTGTGTGTGTGTGTGTGTGTGTGTGCGCGTTTGTGTGTGTGTGTGTGTGTGCGTTTGTGTGTGTGTGTGTGTGTGTGTGTGTGTGTGCAGATTCTCCAAGCAGTAACAGTGCAGCCGCACAAGGTGCGGGTGGGACAGCTCCCATGGACGCACACACGCACGCGCGCACACACGCACCAGAAATTCTTCCGCGTAACGTTCGTTCGCCTCGCGCATTCTCTTTATCGCCACTTCTGTCCGCTCCAGGCCAAGCCCGTTCGGGCCCGGAGGGATCATCCCCCAATACACGGCCCCGAACCCGCCTTCGCCAATGTGATTTCGCTGATGAAACCAGTTCGTCGCAGCCTCGAGTTCGGCGAACGAAAACCGTCGCAGGGAGTTCGGGATGAGGTCAGGGTGGGGATTGTCGTTGGTAGTGCCACTGTCGCTAGTAACATTCGGCGTTGTACCGTCAACCGAAACGAGATTTTCGGTGTCAGTGGCACTGGGAGTTGACGTTGAACCGTCGATCAAAACACTGTTATCGGCGTCACTGGCTCTAGAAGTCGTTGTTGAACCGTCGACCGAAATTAACTTATCGGTGTCACTGGCACTATTCGGGGTCGGAACCACAACAAAAATATTGATGGTAGTAGGATTCGGGGTTGAAGTGTCGACCGAACCGATATTATCGGAGGTTTGAGACGTGGCGGTTCTGAGAGACGATTTATTCGTTTCTAAAGAAGAATGATTCTGGCTGCTGGGGCTGGTCTTGCTGGCGCCACTTTCAATGATTGATGTGCTTGTTTCACGGTCGTCTGATTGAAAAGGGACAATGGAAAGGGAAATCGGAGTTATTGCAGAGGAAGGGAAATGGAGAGGGGAGAAGCACCGGTGAGGTTACCATCGCATTTGAATCAATTTACACTGTCCGCTTGAAAATGATCACATATGGATAGGTTGGCAATTGGTCACTTCGCTTGCTTCAGAAATAAAACTGAGATTTTGCTGAACAGGTTTGATGCAGATGGAGTGAATTTTCCGGCCAAACGATCCTAGACAACAATAGATGCACTTATTTTTCTGCCGAGTAATTACTCATAGTAGCGTCTGAGAGGCATATGGGACTGACGTCGGACGTACCCATTTTAGACATGAAACAGCCCATTTTTCTTCAGAGAGAAGAGTTTGGCGCGGCGATGCTGTTATTGTGGATGAGAATTCGGCTTCTAACCTTGAAGGAAAGAAAAAAAAGAGCAATAATCACGTCTGTCAGCTACATTCCCATTCCACTGCCTGCTGCTGCATGCATGCGTAGTAGGGCATCAGGCGATTATGTTTACTCCGTTACGCAATAAGGTTTAACAAGAAGATCAGTGATAGGGAGCTTTGCACGGTTACGATTACGAACGGCTGCGAATGCGTTCCGTGTGCTGGTTATGGACAAGTAAAATCAACGGAACAGAAACTATCGGTGTCATTGGGTACGATCTGGAAAAGGAACGATAAGATCGCTTCAATTACGGATAGTCTTTGTTGCGTAAGCCACAGCCCTAAAATACATTTACCACAATGGTGCCGATACTGCCAGTACTAGTGAGGCGTCAATGACCTGAGCAACAAGAAGCAGGCTGCTATATTGCGAGCACCAACGAATATGTACATAATAGAGACTCGGGAATTGGTTGCTCAGGTTTCTCAGACGAGTGTGAGGGAGAATCAAGAGAACCATTTGCGTAATGCCTCCAGCTTTCGTGTTTTAGCCTGGTTGCTATTTCGTCATGATTTCGTATGTACCTCGCGAGCCATTCTCGCCACAAAAACCATCGCCAAAGACCCGACGAAAAGAACTTTGGCAGCACAGTCGAAGCTTCCATTCCGCATCCAAGAGCTGACAAGTTCAAGGCGAGAGAAAGTTGACGAAGAAGGATGGACGGACCCTGCTTTCCTGTCGGACAAGCATTTGTTTTGGGCACACCCACTGGTCGTGCGTGCGAGTGAAAGTGCAAGGATAGTCGCCTTGTGGTGCCTTGTTGTAGCACAGTTCCACTTCAAGAAGCCAGCTTGACATCCTCGCTTGTGGAACACTGCTGTAACATTCTAATGGCATGTACAAAGTGAACGTCTGAGGGATGTAGATGAAACCGTCAGGAATCCCTCGACGTTGTTTCCTTCTTCATTCTGCAACTGTTGCTGCTCACTGGTTCACAACAAGATTGAGAAATGGTCTTTCAACAATTTCTTTAAAGCGACAGGCAACTTTTGGCAGTGTTGGGTTCAGAAGTTTTTGTTTTGAACCAGTCTCGCCAGTGCGTAATTGTTGGCTGGCGAAAACCAGGATTTCGTGCGGACACTTTTCGTCCGCAGTAACAATTCGTCAGGGTTTCGGGTTTTGGGTGGCAAATATGCACCGTCGCTGTAAGGATTCCAGACTTCCAGTCCGGGGTTATGGCTACCCATAAATGTTATGAATGAACTTGCAGAGTGCGCAGTAAAACGAATAACGAGAATGACGGATTACTGAATTACTGAATGACGATACAATGAGAAAGGTACGACTAAATAGGGGAAGTCCTAGCTAGGCGGAGAGGTTGGGCGAGGATGGCTCGGTGATGGTTGCGATTGGAGCGGAGGCCGACTCGGGAGTGGTTCGGTGCGACGAAATAGGAAGGACAGGTTCGTCGCGTGACCCTCGGGATGGCCTCGCTAACGAGTGCCTCAGTCAGGATTCTGTAAATCCTTACACTCTCCCACCTTCTAAATAAGGCAGTCCTGTAATGAAAACAGACCCCACACTAGCAAGGATGCCGTAGATCTCCCCTTCAGCTGAATCCGACGGCCGAAATGCATTCGATAATATTTTTGAAAAGGTTGGAAGGTAGGCCGTTGATGTAGTCAGATTTCGATCTGACGGTCGACAATGAACTAGCCCAAAATGAAGTTGAAGTTGGAATGTGGGCCGTCGATGAAGCAGATGTGGATCTGACGGTCGAAGACTGACGCGAGATTGGAGGGAACCTGCTGACGCAAAATTCAATCGCGATGTTGCAGAAACCGTTGATCGTGCAGCAGCGATCGCAGTCGTCCGTCGTGCTGCTGCATTTTGACAAAGTCAGAAATTGAGCCGAGAAAACGCCGAGGAAAGAAATAGTGCAAAGCACTTTCTCCCCCCCTCCAAGAAAACACACCAGAAAATGTTTCACAGCTGCGCCCAGATGAAAACCAACAAAAATCCAGGTGTTAAGTCCCACTGAAGCGAATGTCGAGCGTAGAAAGCCAGGTGAAGACTCGTCGGTGTGGAAAGTCGATTGCGGAACCGGGTAGTACGTGCCCCAAAAAGTCTTCAAGGGCGAACCCGCGTAAGTAGACCAGAAACCGCGGCAGAAATCATGCGTTGCTCGAACTGGACCTGTTTTTGTCTTCACACGCCAGAATCATGCAGTATCTTCAGCAGATGCAACTGGCAGCACCTGACGTGTTTGAAATCAATGCAGTTGTCGTGGGCGGGTCGAGTGGATGGATTTGTCGCTAGTAGAGTTGGTGCGGCTGTATCCCGAAATCCTCTGGCCTGAGAAGTCGGGGCTGGTACGAAAATGTCGTCGGTGAAGGCGATTCTTCGTAAAGTCAAATACGAGCGTCGGCGAAATTCGTTGAAGCAGTAACCGAAATCGAATGTCACTCCGAAATTGATGTCGAGCACGATCTAGGGTCAGATGATGTCAGCACCTCCAGCGGTTTTGTCCAGACTCGCCGAGCCATTTGTCGTAGTGCGCCGAGGGCTCCTGGGCAGGGATGCAAAAATGCATCTCTCTCTCCCACCCCTTCACTATTGATGCCGCCTTCTTCAGTTCGTCGTAAGTCGTTCGTACCCCTGAATACTCTGTGTAGCTCACGCGTTATTTCCCAACGTCCTTTTCGTGCGCGTTTAACCAAACGCCGAATGCTCCTCCGAAGTTGTCGGCACTCCTTGCCTTAAAACCTGTAAGTCTCTGAGAAAAGTAGAACGAGAATGAGATGAACTATGGAATGAAAGTGATACAAGTATGCAACCCTAGAAATGTGTACCCCATATGGGCTACCCCACTATAGCCTACAGAATGTTATAATTTGACACACCCCCATAGGCAAAGTGGGGGAAAAGAAGGGGTCACAAGACCAGTCAAACAAAGCAAAGCAAAGCTCAGGGTGGATCACAAAGTCACCACACATTCCGAGTGTTAACGGGAATGAAGTGTTGGCCCCGCCCTCGCTTGGGCAACGCCGACAACTTGGTCGGATGTACGGAAGTAGCAGCCGACTGCTCACAGTGGGATAGCTGCTCGACAGGTTACGTCGAGCTGCAGCGGACCACTGTGGTGTTGCTGTAGACCAGGATGCTCGACAGCTGCACCTGACTGGCCTGGGCGACGGGTGAGCCGTCCGGGAGGTCGACGAAGCAGTCCGTCGACCTACAGTTCGACGGGGAGGTCTATGGAGCATCCCGTCGAACTACAGCTCGACCGGGAGGTCAACGGAGCGTCCCGTCGAATTACAGCTCGACCGGGAGGACAACGGAGCATCCCGTCGAACTGCAGTTCGACCGGGAGGTCGACAGAGCAGTTCTGGTCGACGGAAGGGGTCCGTCGACCAAGGGGTAGCTTGACGGGAGGTGTGGTCGACCAGGAGCGCCCGGTGGTCGACCAGAGGGACCCAGTGGTCGACGGGAGGCACCTGGGAGTCGACCAGAGCACCAGGGGTCGACCAGGTCGACCGGGTAACCTGCTCGACGAGTTCTGCGGAGGCACGCGAACGTCGTCGAGATCGCGATGGCGCAGGCGACTTCGGGCTGGTATCCCGAAGTCGATGTGGCTCGTCAGGCGCAGACAAACAGCCGACGGATGCCCAACGAGGCAAGTCGGGCCAATCGTCTGCGCACACCTGTGAGCGCGCGCACTGCTGTGTTCTACGGGGCACGCCGTCGACCTGCTTTGTTGGCAGGTCGCCCTTCTGCAGTGCTGGCGCGGCTCCTCTACGCAATGCTGGCAGGCGGTCGACCGAGCTGCGCTGGCGGTCGACCAGGCTGGCTGCAAGGTTGCTAGGTGCCTGATGTAGTCATTGTTGTCATTGCTTCTTGATTATTCTGGAATTCCAACTTTGCTAGTGAAAACTCTTGCCAAATTCTTCCGTGAATGTGCAAACACTAAGGAACTAAGCAAAGCTAAGATCACCTCTAGTAGTTCGTGCCAACCCCTGTAGTC